AGTAAGGTTTAGACCTTACTTTGTAAAGTGTCCTGAGATGACTTTTGTTGTGATTTGGTGCTATACAAATAAAACTGAATTGAATATGTTTCCATGTGTTACAGTAAACAACAACTGTCACTAAATTTGTGATCTATCTCATTTCTGCTGATGTGTGATAAGTAGGTATTTACTCAACTATACAGAAAAGGCCTGACGCTCTACAAGTTGTTGTGGCCAATTCACTCCTTATGTTTGTGCCACCAGCTTATGTACCTTTAGGTGACCTCTAGTGACCACAGTAATTATGAGAGAAGAAAATGTGGTGACATAGTATATGACAAAGTCAACATTAGGAGGAGTAGGAGGCTGGGGTGGATTTGTGAGTCAGAAAACACGTGACTTTCTCAAAAAGACTGTTATCCGATTACAGTGTTTTGTTTTGTTTATCCATGATCGTTCCATATTCATGTTAATTATTGTAACCAGGAGAACAGGGGTTATTTGAACCATAGCCTTTTTAAAAACCCAATCAGGTAGTCGGTGCTCTTAAACCATAGACTGTATATAAATAATGGACAAGGCATCATCACTTCCCCCCACTATAAGAAAGTGAAGCCAAAATATCATGAATATGGAAGCTGCCAATGTGGCATTTTGCTGCCAGATTCTGTACAGTAGCGACAAGTAGATGTGTGATATATCAGACCACCAATCAAAGCTCTCATATTATCTGAAATACACCATTTTTTATATGATCAAATAACATTAAAAAACTCACCAGAAAAATATCTACTAATACACACATGAACATCATATCTATCATCATATCATATCTACCAAAAACCATAGAAATCACCTCTGGGAAAAATCTATTTGATTTGTACTTTAAAGTTTTTAGTTTTGCTTATGTCCCATCCACTAACATGGAGGGGGTGGGATTTATGACATATACTGTACTGCAACCAGTCACTGGGGGGTCTATTATATAATCAATGGCTAAAAAAACTTGGAAAAATCAACTGGACTAGATTTCTAGGTCAAAGACGTTTCACCTCTCATCCAAGAGGCTTCATCAGTTCTGACTTGTGTTGAGCCGGAGATATTTATCCCCCTCGGTGGTGTTTCAGTCCTTTGAAGGCCAACAACGTCCCTTAACAACTGAGTCGTTACCTCTGAGAGTCTGTGGCCTAGGCGTCGGTCGACAGGGGAGGATTCAAAGACAGGTAACGACTCTCACCGATACTGGGCTATAACGACTCAGTCGTTAAGGGGCATTGTTGGCCTTCAAAGGACTGAAACACCACCGAGGGGGGTAAATATCTCAGGCTCAACACCAGTCAGTCAGAAATGATGAAGCCTCTTGGATGAGAAGTGAAACATCTTCGACCTAGAAATCTAGTCCAGTTGATTTTTTCTAAGTTTTTTCAGCTTACTATAACCTGGATGACTGAGAATCTGCACAGACATATATAGTCAATGGAGTAAACATAACCACCCTTTTTTTTGTGAAACAATGATGGTTCCATAATTGTAAATGTGTGTTTATGATTGTGTCAGTGACAACAAAGGTCAAGTCAAGTGTGCTGCTGGAAGGGCCATATGGATCATATTATAGTTTATGTAAGAACATGCAAGGACTGGTTTTGTCCAACATTTAGGTAGGAGGACCTGTGAAAATTCTGCAGTGCAGAATGTTGGTAATCTTTCTCAGTCTCATTAAAAAGCAATTTGATGATTTTGATGCACATATCAATCTACAGAATGTTAGGTAATTTCTTAGTTAGATAGATATTGGTTAGAGATCTGTTGTATTAGAAAATGTTAGTGTAGACAGGATGTCTAGCTCAGGCTGTTAAATGCTTAGTTCATTGTCATGAGCTTGCTGCAGGCTGCATGTGGGCCCCAAGGTCAACTAGATTGAAGAGTCTGCAGGCAGGATGAATATTGCTAGTAGCATGATATGTTCAGCCGTAATCTTAATCATAATATCTTCCGAGGCTTACTGTTCGGACATGTCCCTGAATGTCCTGTATGTTTTTAGATGCACACCACTAATCAACAGCCACACACTTGAATTTTCTCCATGTTTTGACTACTGCTCTGGTCAGCTGCATAGCTGGCATATCAGGTGACGTCACGGTTTGACGTGGCCTGTGTAGGATGGGGCTAGCCCAACGAAGTGATTAAATTGTATAGAGATCTTGGGTTCAGGGTCTTTCTTCTTCCGGGCTGCCTGCGAGCAGCTTTGGGGGTGGAAGATGCCTGGACGTGTAATGTTAATTCTTGCCTGTGACCCTTTGAATAAACCAGCACGGTTATATTTTTTTATATACTCAAGTGGTCCGCTTCGTCTCACTGAGTTCCTGGTTTGAAAGAACCGGACGTGGCTTTATAATAGAATAGAGCCTTTACTTTGAATCTTACTAAACTGCATTACTAACACATTAAAGTCTAACACATTAATGTCTAATAATTATCTGACTGATTTATTAATTTCTAACAGATGAGAGGTGACACGTCTTCGACCTAGAAACTGTTAGGTATTTTTTAGTCAGATAGATATTGGTTAGGTACTTGTTGTATTAGAAATGTCTTTAGTGTAGACAGGATGTCTAGCTCAGGCTGATAAATGCTTACTCACTTCCAGGAGTTACTCCAGGTTGTTTATGTTCAAGGATAACTAGATAGAAAGTGGCTACTGTATGATATGTTTAGCCGTAATCTTAATCATAATATCTTCCGAGGCTTACTGTTCGGACATGTCCCTGAATGTCCTGTATGTTTTTAGATACACACCACATAATCAACATTCACACACATTATTTTCTTGATGTTTTGACTACTGCTCTGGTCAGCTGCAAAGCTGGCTTATCAGGTGACGCCACGGTTTGACGTTGCCTGCGTAGAATGGGCTAGCCCAACCAACCAGATAAAATGTATAGGCTATTAGGGGTCAGGGCTTTTCTTCTTCCGGGCTGCCTGCGCGCAGTTTTGGGGGTGGAAGATGCCTGGACGTGTAATGTTAATTCTTGCCTGTGACCCTTTGAATAAACCAGCACGGTTATATTTTTTTATATACTCAAGTGGTCTGCTTCGTCTCACTGAGTTCCTGGTTTGAAAGAACCGGACGTGGCTTTATAATAGAATAGAGCCTTTAAGTAGATGAAAAAGTGTAGCAAACAGAAGTAGGCCAAACTATTTAACTGCAAGGTGTTTCTGATTTTAGAGAGGTCTGTGTATGCATGGTTCTACCAAGAACAGCCACAGATATTCACCTACATGTGCAATAAGAGGAGGTCTGGGAAAGTTTTAACATATATGCATTTTCAGTGTGAAATGTGCATGAAATTTGCCCTGTGAGTATTCTCTGTTGGTGTCAGACTCTACAAAGACACAAACTTGTGCCCAAGGACAACTGCATAAAAAATATTTGCTCTAATGCTGGTATGGTACCTGCAGGAAAATAGATTTAATGACATAATAACACCTCAAAAGACTTATGAAGAATTATGAATTGGATTATTGTGATTCTTTCATCTGTAATAACAAATGTCAATAGCAGAAATGTCATGAGTGTAATCCGGTGCTCCATGAGGTGTACCAACCCCTGAATTAACTACTGGATTATGATTATCAGCCTAGAAAGGAGACATTATAACATGGAAACTTGAGCTTAGGTTGTTACCTTTATTCATGGTGGATTGTCTCTCCTGGATCTGGTCTTGCGCATCACTGATATTGTTTTGTTCTCCAAACTTGGTCTGCAATATACAGCATTGATATTATTTCTCATGTAATCACTATTAAACTTGAAGGTGGTAAAAAATTCAAATACTCTTTCAAAGCTGCTGATTAAACATAATGCAGTAGATAATGAATTATTGTGCATAGCTATCGAGGCATCATGTTAAAATGGCTGGTATACCTCTACTAGAAGAAGCAACACATTACTTGCAGACCTAGTAATGGCCTGATCACACCAGGATATATGACAGTGAACTATCCAACCAGAATCATTTTATTTCAGTGGAAACTCAGTGATCAGTGAACTCACTCACTGAGCTTCTGCAAAACAGTTCAAGAGCCCATGGCATGCTCATTTTGCTAATTTCCAGCCCTTTAATGTTTAATCTTGGGTACCTCTAGATTAGCTTTCTACCCATCATAACTCCAAATAATCTGTAATTATTTCAAAAAGATAAAACTCAAGAGCCTCCTCTGGGAAATGAGAGCATACTCTGTGAACATGCACAACTCCTGTTGCCCGTCACAAAGCTATAACAATGCGTAAGCAAAAAGCACTGACAAATAAGCTACATTTTCAACAGTAACTCAAATCTGACCTGACGTGTTTGAGCCAGAATATTGTTAGGTATTTTTTAGTCAGATAGAAATTGGATAGATACTTTATGTATTAGAAATGTTTAGTGGAGATAGGATGTCTGGTTAGACTGTTAAATGCTTAGGCATGCTTATGAGTTTCTACAGGGTACATCTCGTCAAGGATAACTAGAGAGAAGAGTTGATGACTGTCAGCAGACAGGGTGTTTAATATTATTATTATGACGTGTATAACTGTAGCCTGAGCCATAATATGTTCTTATGTTTAAGTCACGACATGTTACTAGAGGTCTGTGAGAATGTTTTTAGCTACACACCACTTAATCAACAGACACACACACACGTTGATTTGCTTCATGTTTTGACTACTGTTATGGCCAGCTGCAAAGCTGGCAACAGAGACGTCTCGGTTGACGTTTCTGTGTAGTATGGGGCTAGCCCAACCAAAGGGATCTGCAATATGAATGTGGAGAGCATGAGGAACCGCAACAGCATTAATTCATTTGAATTTCTTCTCCACAGATAGATAAACAACAGTATATGTACAAATGAAAAGAGATTTGTAACACTCTGAACAAAGCGGGTAATTGAGAAACCTTATATTTTAACTGGCATAATGCAGACATAGCAACTTCTCCAGCCTTACAAAAATTCTCTACAAAAACAACACATTAGCGGCCATGCAATTTTTTTTGTTTTGTTTTGTTTTTCTACTTACCGTTATGTCTCATCGAGTACTGCAAACTTCAAGGTCAGTAAATCCAACCAATGCATCGCTGCATCTTCCCCACAAATCCCTCGCATTACAGGCGACCACATACATACAGTCCCAACAGGTAGCCTTGCACTGACAATAACATCATGGATTGTTAGAATCCTCTGGCCACAGGTAAGCTCACATGACTGTGCACAGCCAGGAGAATATGACCATTCAAGAAAATCTGTGAACTATTGTGTAAGACTTTACATAGTTGGAAAAAAAGTCAAGACTTCTTCACGAGACTTGTATAAACCGAGTTGCTTCTGCATAAAGTGCAACATAGGTACACCTTGTTTTATGAGCTTTCAGTGATGTTTAAGATAATAATTCATCATTGTAACACTGTAGATAAGTCAGAAAAAAACAGAAAAGCATGCCATAGGCTCTTTAATTTTGGTAAGCTCTGACTGTACTATTGACCAGTTGCAAACCATCCTGACAGTGACCTTGGAGGGAACAATCCCTGAGAATCCACAATGGATGCTTATTTCTCTTGGAGTATAAACTGCTCCAGAAGAAAAATACATCAGGTTTTGTAGACAGTTGTAAAACGGGATGATGGCACAAATATAACAAATATATCCCCTTGAATTAACTGGAAGTTGAGTCATGGCAACGGGACTTCTTTCTTGTTAGCTTCTTGTTAGCTCATCCAAGTAGCTTCTTTAGTTTGAAAAAGGTTTGTAAGGAATACCATATTTCTATCTCTAACCAGCCTTTCTCATAGTGAAGAAGCTACTTGGATGAGCAGTGAAATGTTTCAAACTAACAAGAAAAAAGTCCAGTTACCATGACTCACCTTCCAGTTAACTTCACCTTGCTGACTGAGAACCTTCACTGACCCCTTGAATTAACTGTGATCACTCATGTTCTAGTGAGAGACTGAGGATGAAGGTGTTCCCCAAAATGCTTCCAGCATCACCTATTTCATTAATGACTTTCACTGTACCCTACCTGGTGTGACCATGTGTAACACGCCTACATCACTACAAAGATACTACATAAATAGGCTCATAGAGAGTTTGACAGAAGATCTTTGGTTGTAGAGAAACCCACAACTATACCATGTGCTACTGCAAGTGTTGCTCATCTTTCACAAGTGGTGGCCTTCATACCAACGCACCCACAGTGCATTATGAATTGAAATGTATTGTGTTTTGTAAAAATAAAAAACACATTCTATTACAGCATGCAGTTGACATGAATTTTAGTGGCAACGGCACTAACAAGAGCAAAGGTGGAGCAGTCACTGTAGATCAAATACAAGCTGTATGGAGAACAGAGAGAGATAATCAAAGGCAATGAGTGAAGTTCTTGAACAAATGCAGGTTTTCAAAAGAAAAACATGGACTTTGGAGGGTGTCTGGTGGCTTAAATGGTTAAGATTGAAGTTAAAAGATGACACTGGACAACAGTTAGGACTGGATGAAGGGACAGCTGGACAAGGGCACTGATGCCCAAATACCTTTCTGATGTGAGAATCTTCACCATCAAGGTAACCATCATCGATGCCCAAGCTGCGTAACCAGGTGGTGCTGTCAAAAGGCAGGGGAGGGATGGAGGGAGGGAAGGTAGGGGAGGGCTCCAAAGGGTAATAAGACTTAGGGAGGGGAGGCCTTGGGGGAACACTTTCCTAAAAGGATAAGAGGAAGGACGGAAGAAAGGAGAAAGAATAAGGTGAAGAGAGAGTGCTGCACATCAGGATTAAGCCAAGCAAAGTGCAGAGCAGAAAGGTTTCATGGGAATGATTCTATGGAATGGGGTCTTGATCCCATGCTAAAGAGTTAGAAATGAAAATTCCCAGGTGGCCAAAAACATACCTAGCCTGACAGCTTCTGTGAGTTACATCCATAATCCATGACAAGCAAAACTTGTGAAGAAGAATATTTGCTTGTTAGGCTAATGTGGATAAATTACATTGTATGTAACAGCACTGCATTGCGGGGAAACAAATTAGATCATTTTTTGATTCAAGTGGAATTGAAAGGGTAAAGCTTGTCATTGCTATTTGAGACAGCAGTGACGGTGTTTAGTTCAACACAAAGTAATTCAACTTGTATCAGGTACATCCTTAAGCAAACCAAAATTGAATAACTGATTTGTATGTTCAACACATATATCTGAATATGGTTTATTTGCTTGACATGAAACTCTGAACAGTCAAATTGTGAACAAATCACCCACTGATCTTTGTTTTTCATAACAAGGGTTTATCCCAAATATTAATGTCATTGAGAGAACATGCCTCTTCTATAGCACAAGTGAAATCTTAACTTACGGGAACCCTGGTCACAAGTGCTGGCCTACAAGATTCATCACATTAAATCCCCAAAATCTTTATGTTGTTAGGTATTTTTAGTCAGATAGATATTGGTTAGATACTTGATGTATTAGAAATGTTTAGAGTAGACAGGGTGTCTAGCTCAGACTGTTAAATGCTTAGTCATTCTTATGAGTTGCAGCAGGTTGCTTATGGTCAAGGATAACTAGATAGAAAGTTGATGACTGTTAGAAGACAGGATGTTTAATATTATTATTATGACGTGTATAACTGTAGCCATAGCCATAATATTTTCTTATGTTTAATGTTAGGATATGTCACTAGAGGTCGTGTTAGAATGTTTTTAGCTACACACCACATAATCAACAGACATTCACACATTGATTTTTCCTCATGTTTTGGCTATTGCTCTGGCCAGCTGCAAAGCTGTCCCTGGGAGACGTCACAGTTTGGCATCTCTCTCTGTAGTATGGGGTTAGCCCGAAGTGATATAATGTATAGGCCTGTTGTGGTTCGGGGTCTTTCATCTTTCAGCTGCCACGTGCGTGCATGTTGGAGGTGCAAGATACCTGAACGTGTAATGTTAATTTTTACCTGTGTTCATTGAATAAATCAGCACTGTTTTAAAGTTACTTGGACTGCTTCGTCTCTCAGAGTTAGCATGGTAAAAAGTACCGGATGCAGCAATGTGAATCAGACCAAAGCAAATCAGTGTCAAAGAGCACCAATGACAAAAACAGATTCCCTGCTTCCATTGGGTCTTTGTAGAGCAGTCAAAGAATGAGCACTGACAACTGAAAGGTGAGATAAGGATGTATCTGTGAAGTGATTAACTGGATTATGTCATGACCTTTAGCAATGGCAACATAAAATGCTTGTTTGGGAATAAATGTTGTCCATGTATTTACATTTTTACAAATCAGAACAGATGAAACTGGGACTAATCTGAATCTTAGAATTAAGGTAAACTATTATGTGATGGATATTTATTTACAGTATTTGTTTGTTTATTGATTGGTCTGCACAAAGGTAAAGTGGTTACTTTACCTGAATGATCACCATTTATGTCAGACTGTGGTATGGCACAGATCACTTGATCAAAGCCAAGTTCTCCTTGATAGTTGAGGTACAGTAAGTATGTGGCCTAGCACCTGAGAGAAGCCAGCTGACGATGGTGCTGGGTTTCAGGGCTACAACTTCTAAAACAAGGGACTACAGGTGTATAAACATCTGGGCTGTAGCGTAATGATAAAACATTAATCAGACAGGAGTCCTGGAGAAGCAGGATCTGGGATTCAGGCATAGAAAAGCACCTGTTGGAGGACAGGTTTTTGAAATTATGTATCTTGCTGAGAAGTGGGAAGAGTGGGAAACTGGAAAGACATCTTTTTCTAAGGCCTATCCTGACTTTTTGGATACAACCATTTGAGGTTAACCAACTAATGTTCTGAGGGTCAGAGTGTGTTAGGAGTGTGTCTGAGTTGGTATATTTGGAATTCTGGCATAGTACTTGAAGAAAACTGATCTGGCCTTCTGCTCTGGCTTTGGCTAAACATATAGGTTTGTTAAAGTCTGAAATCGTTCTGCAATTGATGTTTTCCCCTATCATGGGGTCTAATCTGCCCAAGGACTCCCCAGGGTTCTGGAATACTAGGGTAGGCTGAGGAAAAGCATGCTCATGGGTTTGAGAACCAAAGTGTGTTTGTGTGCTGCATGCAGGCTTGAGTCAGGCTCCCTCTAACTTTTGGGTCTAAACCTACATTTAGGGTCAGTTTTAAAATGAGGCGCTATGCATGACTTGGGACAAGGTTTAGAGCTTGGTCTCCTTTGCACTTCAGGGTTGGTTCTACAGTCTGAGCATGGGCTTGTGCCAGGTTTTGTATTGGAGTTAGTCCCCAGCTGGCCTTGTCCGGTGCTTACCTCTGAGCCCAACAGTTTGGTGGGGGAGGCCTGAGAGCCGGCCACTGGGGAGAAGGGGCTGAGTGGGCTGGTGAGGCTTATTGAGCTCAGGGGACTGGCTGGACTATTAGTGCTAAAAGAACCTGATGCACCGCTGGCCACTGTGCAAGAGAAAGAAAGGGTGGTGGGGGTGGCAGGGATAGAGTCATTAGGACATACATGTTAAAGACTAGTATTTCCAATATTCCAAATTGAAATAATAATTTCTCAGCTCCAGTGTCTTACCTCTGTGCTTGGCTGTGTCAGTACCTCTGGATGAATTATTCTTGTGCAGTCCCTCTAATACATCCTGGACTCTCCAAAACTCTTTCTGGATGTGTCTACGAACTAGTTCACTCTGCAAAAAGCCGTGGCAGACAAAATAAAGTGAGAGAGGGAAGTTGAACTACTTTTTTACTGAAGAAACAATCTCCAGTGTGGTGAAAGGGCAAATCAGAAGTCATAAGACATTAGTAATGGTGGACCATCGGTACTACAGGTCCAGCACAGTCAAAGAGTACTGTTGACCTTGCTTTTAAGTCATATTTTCATGCCTAATGGTTATACAGTACATCATAACTTTTACATAACCTTTACAATCTGTGGAGAGGAGGAAAAATATGGCAATTCTTAGATTTAAAAGAGTGATCTTTTTCATATACAAGGTACCACAGTGGTTATATAAATAAACTCTCACTGGTTGCTGATAAGGCTTATTAAATGTCAGTCTGGGTGATTATTTATTTCTTTATTTTTATCATGAAATTTTAAAAGTGAACATACTGTAATCTTAATTGTTTTTATGTAAGTGAATGGCTGATTTTTGATTCTTGCTGTCAAACATGCTTTCCATTTTCCTTACAGCTGAGGCTTTAAAACTAAAAAGGGATGACAACAGTAGGATCTTTTACCTGCCCGCCAGAATTTAGCTGCTCCCATAGATCTCCATGAATGGCATGGGCCTCATCCTCTAATGCTTCAAACTCCATATGAGTGGTGGTCAAAGCCTGAGTGAGGTACAAATAAAAGCCACTATACTCAGAGAATGTTTCTAACATCAGTGGCTTACATAAATGGCTTACATAAATCATGCCTTTCTGATTTTAAATAGATGGAAGTAAACTTTTAAATGAACGTTAGGCTTTTTGTTACAATCCTGCTCTTGTTTTTATATTTATGTAAATATTGCTGCAAATGCAACAGGCACACTGGTATTTATTGAGCTGCATTCCACTTGCTGAAGACCAGACTAAAGCCAGAGAGACCCCACAACAAGCAAAAAGCAAAGGGGTCTGCAGCAAAGGCCCGCAGCATCACCAGAGAAGATACCAAGTGTTTGCTGATGTCTGTGGGTCCAAGACTTCAGGCTACATAATATTTTTCCACAGAATATTAAATGTGATAATTTTGTCATAATATAGATCTGTTTAAACCCAAATCCCTGGACACTGTGTGTTAAAATTGCTATGTCTCCCATAAATAACCCTTTCAAAACTGATGTACTCAAGGCTGGAAAGTACTGATTATTTTATTTCAAGTTAAATGTGCAGAAAAACTGAGCTTGAAAATAAAAGCTACTGTCCAAATAACTTATAGGTTTGGACTGTAAGTAGTAGGAATAATGGCTAGACTTAAAAAAATAAACATACTATATAATTCCAAAATATAAAGATAGACAGTCATCTTTGTAAATTGCAGCTAGGTGATTTTTTGAAATTTTTTCAAATTTATTTTGGATCACACAGTGACTATCCTGAATATGTGATGCACTTTCTTACACTGGAGGCCTGGGAAAGCTCCCCTCTGATGTTGATCAGTTGGTTCTGCAGGGTTTCCTTTTTAAACTGCAGTTTTTCCATAGCCAAATGCTGGTTATGGTACAGCTCCATCTCCTGATGAGTTGCCACCAGCGCTTCCTCTAGGCTGTCCTGGGAACAGCAAACATGTTGCAGTTATTGCAGAGCTGGTGTATTTGATTGTCAAATGCTTCTGTTTTCCTGGTCAATGCGTAGATATATATCCTCACATATGGTAAGTTATGTAAGTTTATGGGTTTCCTTCAGTATAACAGATCCTCACAGTTGTTGTGGTAAGAAGTGTAAGAAACTCAGATAACGTCACAGTTTGTTGTTGTTTTTTCCATTGGAACAGAATAACAGGCAAAAACTACAATACAAAATACTTCTTAAACATATTGTGAGGACAGTTATGTACCTTGTCCATTCTCAGTCTGTGGACAACAGCCTCGTGGTCTTTTAAAATTCGGTTCTGCTCACACAGTCGACCCAAGAGTTTCTGTCAGACAGAACAATGGGTAGTTACCACATGCATTTTGAGGAAACCGCAGAGAAAACATAAAACAAAGAGAAAGAGCACAAAGATGTATAGGATCTGCATCAGTACTAGCTTATGTATTAGGCCAAAAATATAACACCCATATAAGCAAGGCACATGCCATTAATCATCTCCACTCCTCTGGTTTCACCACTGATTTGGTGATATCAGTGTCTCAAGTTCTTCCACATTAAACTGGGAAAACTTTTCTTTTGAGGAGCTGGCTTTCTGCATCAAAGATCAAAATATATATACAGTGGTGATCACATAATTTTGGCTATATGGAGTATTTAAAAAGAAGTGTAAATCATCCAGTTGTAAGAGTGTGTTTGTAAAGTAGGTTTATAATGTGTATGCAGCATTAATTCCCTTACACTGGTTTCAATCTCATTGAGTTTCAGTGTAGGATGTAAGTCTCTGCTGTAGACATCATGGAAAGGAGGCACCTGGGGAAGCAAAGTGGAACAAATGATCTAAATGATCATCACAGTATAGACACTAACTGCAGCAATGAGAGGAGAACAAAAATGCAGTGTTTGTATTATGTTCTTTATCCTGAGGAATGTCAAGCTTCATTTATTGAAAAAGTCGTTAAGAGAAAGACATCTAAACAAAGAAACCTGTGCCAAAGAGGAAATGATTACGCTGAGCTCTTAGTGATTATCTGCAGATCTGCTGAACTGTGAGTGATAGTGTGGACCACATGCAGACGAGACAATGACAGAAGAGAAGAGAGGCAGGCTTGGGTAAGTATGGAATATCTGGTCTTTCAGTGATCTATATAGGCCTTTGTCCAGCCCTAAATAAGGACTAAATTGGAGCAGACTGGACCAGCCAACATTGGCTCTCTAATTACCCAAAGACAAAAAGGTTTAGAAGAGAGCCCCACTGGAAATTAGTTAGAGCTTAACCCTGATGAAGTGCTGCCAGCTGAAGCCTGCCTCCCTGTGGCACTCTCTCCTCTCTTACTTGTACACAGAGCTTTGCTGAAGTGGATGAGCGCTCCACCATTCGGGTGACCATGCCAATAAGGTGGCTTCCCTCGAGCACCTGAAGATTCAGCTCACATTACAGAGACCTGATAACCAGCTTGTGTAACAGGATGATTGGAACAATACTGGAACTGTGTTAGGAGAAGCTAATAATAATTTATCAAAACTAATTTACAGATAAGCACCCTTTGGAAGGAAAGAAGAAGAAACATAGGAAAGGAGGGAAGGGACCTCAGCGACTGACCATGTCAACTCTGACTGAGAAATGTGAAATATGTAATAGCAAACAGCTTTCTGTTCATGTGTGTCCTCCTACCTGTTGGTCTAGGAAATCCAGGTTGCGCTGGAGTTGAAGGTCTAATATATCCTCCTGAGTCAAGCAGCAGCAGCAACAGCAACATACATGGAAATCAAACGGACACATAGTAGACAGACAGACAGAGGCCTTTGAGCTAAGACAGCAGCAAAGCAAAGCACCACGACCATCCCGCCAGTCACACTGGTGGTCTATGGCTCCTGGGCATAATAAGATCTGTTCAGTTTTTGACTAAAAGCTGCTCCTTTCCCTGCAAGTAAAATTTCATCTGCGGTCTCTTTTGCTAGCTTGTTCTGGGGATTCTTCCTCAGTAAATTGAGCTTGCTGAGTTGTCATGGAAAATGCTTAGTTGTTATTTCATGACCTAAGCATCACTCCAGTTTTCCTCTCAGGGTCCTTGTCTTTAGTGTGGACCAAGACTGATCTCAGTGGTTCATTGGTAAAAGCGGACTCCTTGTGACCTGAACATTGTTTAGATGTCTGGAAAGCCTGTTTTAGGATGGTGATTCCCTGTTAATTTAGCCTTTTTGCCCAGAGTGCCTGTTATACCCCCTCTCTCTATCCTCCCCTTAACTGACAAGATGGTGTGCTCTCTGTAGGAAGTCCCTACACACCACTGGCCTTAATGCTGTAAGTGGTAGTTGGAGTTCAAATTTGAAATAATGGTGAGTGGCTTTCCAGTCCCCTCCCCTCCAACTGATGAAGGCACAGTTGTTTACACATTGTGTGGATCCTTTGAGGCCTGACACTTTTCATTCCTAATAGAACACTGGCAAAGGCATTTTTAAGTGTTTGATGCCAGCATTGTTTATAGCCATGTTTGCAGTTGGCAGATTTCTTCCTCTCTGCTTTTTTGCTGAAGCATTGCAGTGTATCTTGTCACATCACTGCCATCAGCTATCAGTAAGTGATATCATGTTATCTTCATGCTTGTGTGGGTACAGGTATGTCATCCTCATGCTAATGAAATCTACTCTCAACACTGCCCTACTTGTGCTCAGAAACACCACAGGCTATCTTTAATGACATTAGGCCACGTGTTCAATTTGTTTGAAATAAAGCCAGAGCATATTTTTTGTTTGTTAGTTTGTTTGGATGGTTTTACTGTCAAATTTAACATGCAACATTTCCTCTTTCTTCAAGTGGCTTTCGGTCTTTTATTATATTGAACTTTATGGAGCTAATTGGTAGCCTTATATTTCATTGATCATGGGTGAAACTTGTGTGGAGTGCATTGAGGACTTGGCCATTAAGTCATATTTCTCTTTTGTGTAAACCCACACACATATACATATGCACACAAGAGTGGTTCCAGTGGTGTGTTGGGGGGCAGAGCAACAGAGAAGTGCAGAAGACAGAAAGGCCAGGAGGAAAGGTCCAGAGAGAGAGTGATGTGTACAGAGTTAGGACAAACAGACAGGCAGATGGGACAGATGTGCAGCAGAAACCCCACAGCTGGCTGCAGCTGCAAAGCAAAGCTACACATAACAATGCATTAAGTGCCATAACCACTGTAGACTGTCTCCCACCACAGGACGTGTGTGACTGTGTGTGCTTCCAGTAGCTGTATATGTGTTATGGCACATCAGTAGCACATACCATTTTACTGTGGATGGAAGGGGATAGAGGGTAGTTGTGGTGGTATAAGCCTTGGCTTAAGGACCTCCTGTCACCAGGGTAGTCATACTGAAAGAAGGTAATAAGGAGAAAAGAAGAATGGAGGAAAGAACACAGTTGTTAAAGTGGAGTAAGGAGGATGTGGTTGCAGCATATGAGAACAAATTATTAATCTCATTAAAAATCTTTTGTAGAACCAAAGGTTATTTACAAGCCTTTGTTTTATGGAAATGTTGTGGGCATTCAAGTTCATTATGTGACTTTAAAGTTCTGCTCTGATTTTGAACCTTAAATCAAAACATTCATTCTGTTTACAGGAAAATGATGGAACAAAAGCTTGTCAATCTTTTAATGAAGATGTCTGATCTAATACGTAACTGTCATAGATTTTAGAGCCACAAAAAAATTACATGACTTGTGGTCTGTTGTCAGTTTGATATTGTTGTTACCTTTTTCATATGTTCACCCTGTAAGGCTACAAGCATACATGCAGAGTCATCATTTCACCTTTGGTGAACTGAGGGATCTCCTCAGGCTGTAGACTGATGGATCAGCATAGATTATGTCATCCCTCATCCTCCCTGGAAACCGGTCAATGCGGGCAGATGGCGATCGAGCTGGTGAAGCAAAGTTGGGTGGCACCGGTGAGTAGGGCCCCCCCGATGACAAGGATGGTGATCTAGGCACAGACCTAGAGCGCGGCTGGATAGAGAGGTGCCTCATAGATATTTCCATGCCACCATAGAACTGTGGCCCCCATGATTCCCTGGGTATTGGAGGTCCGTATAACTGATGGGGCCCATCCCTCAGCGAGCGGCGCTTCTCCTCAACAGTCCAGCGTCTGTCATATCCCCCCACAGCAGAGACAGAGCAGATGCTGTCAGGTCGGACCCCTGGTGGATAAAGAGGGTACTCCTCCACATACTGGGGGCCACCAGGGTAGCCATAGTAGTCAGCCCCTCGGCTCACTGGGTAGTAACGAGATGGGCTGAAATGAATAGAAAAAAATTGAGATTATTTCCTTGTCAAATGTTAAGTCAAGTCATGAAAATAAGATATAACATTACTGACCTGTAGTTGGAGAGTGTTTAAACCTGCTGCACTCAAAAATTTATTTAGTGAGTTTATCACTTATTTAAAAAAGGACTAGGGTAACACAATGAAATTTTGTCTTGGAGATGCAATTACCTTTTTATTATAATATATAATAAATTTCATTTTTTATCAAATGGGAAGGAAATTGCTTCAATCAAATACTGTAAAGGAAACATTTTGAAGGTATAGATAAGAAATTTCTTATTTATAAGGTAATGTCAAACTCAGGGTTTTCCCTCAGATGACTCTTTGCTGATGTCTGTGCCTGACATTAATTTTTGGGATGCTCAAATTAATCTGATAGCATAACCTCAGTATTTAGATAACAATATCATGGAATGTTAATTATGTTATGAAAAAAGAGAACAGTAATGAATAATGAAAGTTCATGGCGGAGGACATACCCACACACCTAGTAAAATAATCACTGTGCCAGTGTGAGGTTATTGTATTGACTTACAATATAGCATCAGTATCCACATGACCACTGAAGCAAATAACAACACAAAGGAAGACCTGCAGCCAGATAAAGGTGTTATGTGATGTTTCCACTTTTCTCCACTAATCTACCTATTGATGTCCTCCTGGGAGGCCATGCCCCGCCGCTGGTTGACCCACTGCTGCAGCTGGGCCATGGAGCTCTTCCTCTGGGCCACTCTCTCTGGAGCTGTCCTGGGCACAAAGCCTCTCCTCAGCACCATGTTCTCCTGCTGCTCCCTGGGGTCATGCAATGGTCCTACGCCCCCCTCTGGGTGTCTCTGAGCGTTACGATGTCCACTGTGACTTCTGGGTGGTGGAGGTTTGCTACTGTTGTTGTTGGGCATGGAGTTAGGAGGGCCGTAGTTGCCCCAACCATTTGGATGGTGATTTAAGTCAGTGGTTTGGTTAGAAGCAAGTTCTCCCCTTTCATCTTCACCCTCTCCTCGTCTTCTGTCAGTCCTTTTTCTCTCCTGATCAGAATGGGGCGTCTCAAGGTTGTTGACCCCATTCATCTTAGGGTCACTATCAGCTTCATTTTGTGTTTGCATGTGTGGCTGCTGTTGTGGGTCGGAGGCCTTAGTCACCTTAGTGTGATTGAGATCTGCTGTCGTGTCCGAGTTAGTTCTATGAAGTTAGATGAAAAGAATATTTAGTTTTTTTTTTAATTACAGAAGCAGAAACAATCAGACCAAGTACAGTAAATGAGTCAATAATCAACGCATATAATAATCCCCAAAACATTATACTAGAGAAGGAAACTTTTGAACAGTTCTCCTTTGAATATTGTTTTAAGCAACAATATGATCCATTGTTGCTTTTAAGATGTGGGGTCCACCCTGTACAGGGTGCCAGTCTATCACAGAGCTGACATGTAGAGAAACAACCACACTCACTCCTACGGGCAATTTAGAGTCACCAGTCAACCTAAGCTGCATGTCTTTGGCCTGTGGGAGGAAGCTGGTGTACCTGGAGAGAACCCACACAGGCAATGGAAGATCAGAAGATCATGCAAACTCCACATAGAAAGGCCCCAGGCTCGAACCCAGAACCTTCTTGCTGTGATATATATATCACCTGAAGTGGGGCGAGTGGGAATTTTTTTAATATAAAATTTTAAGTATAGCAAGTTTAAGATATGAATTTCACATATGAGCCCAACCAATATTTGAATGAACATTTTAATTGAATAGACTGAAGAGAACATGATTGATTATGTGTGTGTATCATATGGCTGTGCGCATGTGTGTGAACAACCTCTGTGCTGGTTGAATGTTGACCTCTGCAGCCTCACTCATGGCTCTGATCCACTCCTCGTGCTCTTCATGGCTGTCTGTGCTGAAGTAATAAGTCCTGGTCCCTGCGTGCTCTGCCTGCATGCAAAACACGACAGGACCCGTCAACTGCCCGTCCTCACTCTCTTCCTCCTTCTCCTCCTCCAGCCATACCTGAAGAGGGAGACAAAACCCAGAGAGGCAGCAGTGTTATTATCACACTCAGTATCCTCATCATCTGCAAACAGTAGAAGTAACATCATCTCCTCATGCAATGAAAAAGCGGGATATTAAAATTATCCAGGTAAAAGATCATTCCGGTTTATTACATGCCTCTGAACATTATTTCTAACACTTATGATGACATTGTCCTCACCAAAGTAAATGGGAAGTTGGTAAGGTACATGCTCTCAGAAAATATGAGCAGTCAGATGATCAGACAGGTTGGAAAGAGTTTATCCAGTTTCTCCTAACCACTTTATTTGGAGGTCAATGAGTATGCTTGGAATGTCAGTCATAATCCTTTATTGTATTAAAACATCATGAGAACACTCTTACTCTAAAGTAAGCACAGTAGGCCAAAGTTGTAACCAGAAGTGGATCTCTAAACTGTGACAGACATTTGCAATAAACAGTTTGAGGGTCCAGAGATACAGGGTGTCATATGCCCTACAGACTGTAAAGCCCACTGAGGAAAAATATGTTATCTATGATACTGGGGCTGCCGAAATCAAACTGACACAGCTTGACTTTGGGTTTGTTGCCAACCTGTCTGATTATCTGGCTTCTTTTTAGCAAAAAACCTGGTGGTAACAGGTTGTTGATACTAATAAAATTAGTGGACATAACTATGAAAATAATACCCAAGTTGTGATAAACCAGAGTGATCCTTTAACGATATCCATGCACAGTCCTCTGGTTGACTGTTCTCTCAGCGATAATGACACTGCCACTCAGTACACCTAAAAACTTAAATGTCCTCCCAGCCCACTACTTATGTTTTGAGGCTCAAATCAGTTCACTGGAGAGTTTTAAAACATCATGGGATTTGCAGATCAAAATCAGAGGGGGTGTCACTGAACAACAGAGTTGGCATGCAGTCGATAATCTGAACAACCCAAACACTACAAGGTAAGACTGTTGTGCATGGTTCTAACTGACATGCAGACATGCAGTACAACAAACATAATCTTGAAACCTTAACAGAAAAGACAGTTAATATGAGGATAGTGAAAATTTGACACCACACCTACTGTACTTTCTATCACAACAGGAGACAGCAAGAACCGACAGACCTCATGGGGTGGATGGAGGTGGGAAGTAGAGAAGACAATGAGAAGGAAAGGTTAAGGGTTATGCTGTTAGAGGTCACAGGTCACTGCTGGTTAGCATGATGCTAGGGTCTGAATATGTTCTTTAACACTGTGGCTGTCTCTTGCTCAAAGGAGAAAGATGGGTGAGAATCTCAGGAGTCTTTAAAAAATCTTACACTACAAAGACTACACTATGCTTCATACATTTTGTATCTACAAAATGTATGAAGTGGCAATTGACCTGTTAAAAAGTAGTTCCAAAACCATTCCTTTTAGTATTTACTTTGAAAACATTATTTAGGTTATTGATGTTTTCATAGCCATATTCATATGGATGGACATAACGGGTTTAAACACAGACCATTCTGTGTCATTCACATCTTCACATGAACAAAGACATTAACAGACATCTACCTATGGAAACTAAATATACATACAGTAAGTCACTTATCAAGAAAAAGTCTGTGGGTATACAGTAATGTCTGGAACAATGATCATATTTGAACAGGAATAAATGCAGCAGTTCAGCATGTTTAGTAATGTAGCACAAGAGGGCAGCATAATCAAATAAGCTGGACAAAGATACCACTCGAAGACATTTAGCAACAACTGTTTCACCAAGTGCTGAAAAGCTTCTACAGAAAGGCCTTTGATAAAAATGGCAAGTTGGACAGTAAAAACGTCCCTTACTGACTGCATGCAGACAGAACATGTTTCTTAAAAGACTTGTTATGAAGTCAATGTATGTTTAACACATAAGACCTCATTGTGCAGCTCTGGATATCAGTAGAAAATGTTCAGGTCTCTGCATGTCAAAGTAGTGCTCTGCTGTATATCTGCATCACAATGGCGTTAACCTTAAGTATGTTTTAAATACTTTATTTACACATTTTAACTCCTGTTTCTTTGCAATAAGTCCACACAGAGACTGGCATCAATCATAACCAATAAGAACCAGTCATACAGGCAAAGGTTGTAGGTTTGGTCACCCCCAGGAACTGCATCAGTTCTTTTGTTGCTACAAAACTTGTAGCCATTGCAGAACATCCACTGTAGAACTGCTTGTCCTGAGCAGAGCAAACATCCCTGCTACTCTGCACAAACACTTAACTTTAGTCCTTTCTCCTAAACAGATCTAATTAAATTCTGTTTTCATTCTCATCTCATTTCAAGCTATAATTTTGACCTTGGCTGCTGAGTACAGCAGTAGTTATTGTGTGTAGGAGAAAGATCATTACTACCATAAGACATCAGGAGGAAGTGATGTCACTGATAAACAGGAGTCATTTCCTTCCATGCTGGAGCACTGTGGGGCTCTGCCTTCAGTAGTGACACAAGGTGATACAGTACAATTGGCTTAGATTTCTGTATGTTAAGAGGCAGCAGTAACCTAGCAACAGAGGTGGAGCTGAGAGAAGAGAGAGAGAGGGAGAGAGAGAGAGCGTGTGTGTGTGTGTGTGTGTAGCCTCCCTCCTTCATTGTCCTTCCTTTGTTCAAATATTCAAGTAGCCAGAGATGGAAGGATGATGAAGAGAGGAAATCTGAAAGTTAACAATATTATCTCTCATGCATCCTTTCTTTTGAGCCATAAAAACATAATTATGATGATCACTTGATATTATTTAGGCCATTGAGGAGAAAGCAAAAAGGAGGAATGATGGAAGGAAAGAATGAAAGAATGAATACTGTAAAAGCAAAAAAAAGAAAAATAATCAGAAAAGAAAGAATGAGAAAATAAAAACAGAAAGAACAATAGAGCAATGGAGGAGGACAGGATGGATCAAAGGAAAGATAAACAAAAGAAAGGGCTGAAGGATAGACAGATAAATGAAAGGAAAACTAAAAGAAAAAATAGAAAGTAAAACAATGAAGAACAGATAAAGGAATATAGTGAGAAAAAATGAAAAGGCACAGGAAAATGAGGCAGGAGAAAAAACTAGTTCAAGAAAGATGATTAGGGAAAAAAAATAAAAGAAGAAAGCGGGAAGAAGGAAAAAAATCAAAAGAAAAAGGATCAAATGTTTGATTGACATTTGATTTGTAACATTTCTTCTCTTGTATACCCCACAGGTTCTGCTGCTGGTTGTGAGTATACACTACACTATACTGTGAGATGTGTGTGTGTGTGTGTGTACCTGTCTGGTAACTGTGAGTGTGTGAGCACAAGAAATATGTACGTGTGTGCATGTATTGTCTGCATGTGTGTGTTATTGTACAGATGTACAGTTTCCATATACTCTGAGAGCATGGTGTACCTTACATGTCAAATGTGCCCTCCAGTCATCAGGAAATAGATCCCTCTCACCCACACACAGGCTGTGTTTTCATTTCTTGTGGGGACTTTACATCGACTTACATTCATTTCCTATAGACCTGTCCTAACCTTAACTGTAACCACTACTTGCCTAACCTAACCTCACCCTAACCTTACCTTAAATCATGTTTCCACCCTAAAATTCAGCCAAGTCCCCACAATGTGAGTGTGTTAACAGGTTTCGGTCCCCTAAGTGTAAGTAATACAAAGGCACACACACATACACGGAGTATTGTGTATCATCTCTCTCCAGATTTCCCTGAAATGAGCATTAAGTTTCATGATAAATTTTAACAGACATTTTAAGGTTGTGTTCAACCTCTGTTATAAAACACAGCTCATTCATTTCAGTTGAATACTGGTGGCTCCAACAACAGAACAATCACAGAAAAGCTTAATTACGCTGTGGTGGTTGCAAGTGGAAACTGGACTGCGGGATTGAACTTTGTGATGGAAAACATACAACATAAATTGTCAGTGAACATTTTATTAATTTTTGCATTTTGCAGTTTGCCAGATTGATGCCCAGCATTTCCTCTGTATGTTGATATGTTAAATTTGACTTCATTAGGACCTTGGATCCTATGTTAGTGGCTCCTGGGTTCAAACCCTTAACACTTTCATGAGGACTCTTTAGGCATTTCATACTTTTTCTGTTTTTCTTTACACTTCTGTCATCCTATTACCTGTCAGCCAGAGTCAGAAATAATGTGTCTAACCTCAGTGTGAACTGTAGCTCATAAGTAGATGCTCTGACAAGCCAGATCATTTCCAGTGCTGAGCAGCACACTGTACCTAGTCAGCCTGTGGATGTATACAGGTTCGTCTTTTTGCTGAAATGTGCAAGGTGTCACAGATCATTTTAAAGATACACATTTATTTCACCAAGTGGCCTTCAGTCAGAGTTGGTGAGGCTTATGACCACTTTTTTCTGAGTAGGATTCACTTGTGGAGCTTAATATTTATAAGCTTCATTCCTTCATGGAAGTCATGACTTTTTCAGTCTTCTGCCAGACTTAATATTCTGATCTATTGCCTCCATGAGTTAAAATATAGCTGAGGCTGCACACAACCAGTAATAATCTACTGTGGTGTTAGCTAATTGTTTTGCTATTAGGTTTTTGACTTTACAGTAGTGTATTTTATAAGCTAATATTAAAGTTTGCGTTGAATACTTCACTGCAAAGTAGCTAGCCCTCTGCAGCTGTCAGAAGATAAAGTACAAAATTGGTATGAAATGGGCCATATGGGAACGAAGTACCTGCAAACTGTATTTAAGTTGAGTAAATGGACACTGTACCGACACTGTACCGCCAAAACATGGCGCGCACCGTGGCAGACGTGCTTATTCATTCTACACTTGAATGCCGACTTTTTCTTCTTTTTGTGTGTTTCTTGCTCTTTCGGCAACGCACAAATGTCATGCACGGTTAATATACAACAGACAGGCATTGCTGGATGTCGCAAACTCA